GTTGCCCTCGGCAAGTAAAAGGTTTCGTGCGGCAAGGTCGCCGTGGAGGATCTAAAGCATTTAGAGATTAATTTCAATTTATGATACAATGAATATATAAATTTGGAACGATGTTTGAAAATGACATAAAAAAAAGCTTGAAATGAATGCCTTGAGTTGCTCAAGGAACAAAACTTAGACAACGACAATTATTTATGAATCCCGTTCCTAAACATTGAAGCCGTTAAATAGGTTTTCGTTAATGACTAATAAATAAAGAACATATGTAGCCCTTATTTAATACTGAGAATTAAAAACCTAATATATACTCTTGACTATCTTGGCTATGCTACATTCATAAGACACCTTCAATCAATAAAAAACTTCTTCGATAAAAAGACATAATTTATGACTACATTTTAAAAAAAGATTTAATACGTATTTTTCTATGACTATCTGTGGAAGTAATTGCAAAAAAGGAGGACTCTAGAGGCAGGAACAATAATTTAGCATCGCTTGCCATGCAGTACACGCAAATTGCAACGACCATGTTAATCAAGACAGTGAGCCAGCCATGACAAGTTTACCTTCCTCCGCGTCAAATACTCCATGCCTTGGGCCACTTGCCAGGACCAGCAGATGATCTCCGTGGTAGTGAAGGGATGTCCAAGGCCTGGGATTGCCGTGCCATCGTTGTTGATTGGGTTACCTTGAGAGTCCAGCCAAACATCTGTTATGTGAAAGGGCCTTAATTATTAACCGTGTTTTACATGATGATTGGACTACGAGCAAACGAAACAAAAGATACAATAAATGGTTCACAAGACATATAAGCACTCTAATATCAAAGGGAAAAATTATATAAATATCTCTTAAAACAGATAAAAACCAGAGCTTTTTATTATCACAGCAAATATTGAATAATAAATCCGATTGTAGCATGATATTTTACTTGAGACGTATTAAATATGGAGGCGAGGTAAAATTTTGATTCAAAAACAAAGCCATTAATATGTCGGGTTTCAAACGAAAATTTTTTTATGGAGTGAAAGGAAGCAAAAACCGACCTGATGTGAAAGGCCGTCCAGAGGAGCCGACTGTGGTCATTTCACTGTTGCATCGGCGGTATGGAACACTCATTGAACCTGACCTACTGGAGCTGATGCTATTTAGTCTACGCGGGGACTTGGTGGGCGTGAAGCCTTGAGTGACGTACGGCGGGGGACTTGGATGAGAGGATTGAGCATCGCGATTGGGGGATTGGAGTGCTTCTTCATTGGGTGACTGTACCACTCCCACGTTGACGTAGGGTGTGGTGAATGGGGGCGGTGATGATGAAGGTACAGCGTCTGGTGGAATATCAGTCGGTGGTGGGGTGCTAGGAAACTGAGAAGCTGAGGCAGGTGTTGGAGGCTCGGGATTTACAAGAGTCTCCAGCACACCGTAGCCTGGGTTGCCGGCAAAGAAGCTCTGGGATCCAGTGGCCTGCCGAATATATAAAAAAAGTCCTATTCAACATTGTGTTTCGAAATGAAACATCGTGGATACACGGCGAATACCGGTACATAAGTAAGAAAAACAATGACCAGATTTGGAGAACGTACAGAGGAAGGCAACGGAGGAGATCGAGGCGAGGAGTGGCTGGAGGAGCGAGCTGTGTGCCTCTTTGGAGGATCTGCCAACACAATCGGGCTGATGACCGAGTTGGGGACCAGGTAACCATCAGGGCCCGGGCCTCCGCTAGACACGCTCGGTCTGAAATTTAATCGACGAGAATTATAAAAATGAAATTAATTCATTGCGTAGGTGAACGGTGAGAGCGAAGAATTCGTTATCGTTTTTCGAAAGAGGATTCAACATGCTACGACTAAAGGTTTAAGTCAGGATGGTTAGCGTGGTTCAAGTAAAAAAGCTTCAAGTTTTTCTAAAGATTACGGAAATAGACTGAAGCCATGATCGATACCATAAATAGTGCATTGCATTCTTTTGCAAATGACTCAGAGTTCAGATCTAGAAGATAGTGTTCGCTTGATTTTCCTCAACAATTCCATCAAACGTTTGTTTAAGTGAGACCTAATTTCATATCCCCCCAAACAAATATTTGTGAGCCATCTATAAGCGAGTTCCAGAAATCATTCCACCAGGAAGCCATCATGAATTGCGTCTCGATAAAAATCTCACGTATGAGCATACGTGATCCAGCATTTGCTTCTGTTCTTTGGTGACAAGTAAAATGCAATCCGCATATGAAGTACCAAAGCAGGCCTAGCCTTCTTCGTTAAAATAAAAGCTAACCTGCCGCGCTTCTTGTAGTTGTTGACTCCAGGAGAGAGCGGAGACGCGAAGCCGCTGGGCGTTACCGCCATGAAGCTGTAATTTATTTCGTCCGTCACAGGATCAATTTGATCTACAAACTTCTTGCGGTAGCGATGTATGAATGAGAGAAGGTCGCCGTACTGGCAATACTCGACCAATAGCCAAAGCTCCTCTGAAAATGGATGGAATATGGAAAGATGAAATAAGGTCACTCGTAGATTGATAGATAGTGATTGAAAAAATTCATAAAACCCCCCAAAAAGGCTTTGAAATCTTTACTATAGACTTCGAGTAAAATATAGTCTCTTAAAGAATCTCTAATGCAACTAATTTGATACGTACCAATTCATTGGCTATATTTGGATCAAAGAAATGGTCACGAATTTTTAGAGAAAAATAGTGTCTTTTACGACGGTTGCGGTACTAAAATCTTAAATATTATATCAAAATAGTATAATATAATATTATTATTATATGTCATTCAAACCTTTATCAATATTTTGAGTGTTGGCTCCTATAAGGTTGACAATGTTGACGTGCTTGCCAAGATGTATCATAATTTTGAGCTCGATGGCAAGGCTTTTGACGTGAGAAGCGTCGCTCATGGACTTGGTCATCTTGACGGCAACGGGTCGGTAGTTTTGGTCTCCGTGAAGGTCCACGTCAGCTTTGACCACGCGACCGAAGGCACCGCTGCCGAGCTGACGACCTGGAGAATTTGGAGACGCTTGTTATCGATTTGAACAATATATTCCGAGATTAGAGACGAGTTTAGACGTGGTTATTTCTAACTCACATAGTATTCTTATACGTCTAGACCTGAAAAGAGATCATAGTTCTAATCACAGTTGCATTAGTTGTTACGGAAAATCAGTTGTTTCAGATTGTTTCATCATTCTTAAACATGGTACAGTTAATCAGGTTAGGAAATCTACCTCGTTTGAGCACAAGTCAGAGTGGGTTTCGAATAAGGTTCAACTTATAGAAGCATAGAGAATAACACTTAGACTGAGATAAAACTTAGGTTTTATCAAATATAATATTTTTTAACAGGAGTTATGTATTCCTAACAGTTCTGGAGTCAGCCGGAATAAAATTCTATTCTATCTATCGAGACGTCGCCGTGCCTGCATTGAGGAAAACTGGTATTGTCATCTATAAATGATGCATTATTGCAACATGTCAATGGATGCAGCTGGATGAGCTCTCACCAATTTTGATCCTGTCTCGCGGCACTTCGAAGGAGGTGTCATAAGGTAGAAGGTCAGCCTGGTCCTCAACCATGAGCTGTGGGTTAATCTCATCGGTTTTGCCATCATGGAAGAGGATGCGTTTGAGTTCTTTGCGCTGCTTGCTCTTGGCTCTCTCACGTCGTAATCGCCATATTAGAACTATGGCTGCGACCAACAGCAGGAAGATGCAAACACCTGCAGCCCACAGAGCCCACTTATTGTACGAAGGTTGTTTGTCATCTGAGGAAGATGAAGAGAAATTATCATCGGAAAATTATAGTGTATTTCTCGGCCTTGTGTGCAAATTTCGACGGTCAACCGAACTATACAACATGTGCGAAAAATGAATAAATACACAAGAAATTGGACAGTGTATGGCCAGTCATTTGCTGATTTTGTTGATTGTTCACTGAATTATTAATTCTTTGAATTAGATGCATCAGATGCACTGAGGTAAAACCAAGAAATAATTAGGTTTATATCGTCTCGTGAGAATACTTGAAATAAGCACCTATTTTTACATAGGTTGAAACATTTACTCCTTCCTAGTTTCTGCTCTTAACAGCAATGTAAACCCATAAGAAAAAACTTGAACAACAAAACCCCATTTTTAACGAAATTTCTATTGAAAACTCTTCAAGTGTCACAATTCATTGGTATTCTAATGCTTTCCTTCATATTAATTCAATATTCTTAACAGTTGAACTCAGCAGCAGCATGCAGAATTCTTACCCTTGATCTTGAGTTCTAGAGATGCATTGTACTGCTTTCTTCGCCATGTCATGACGCATTTGTAGAGGCCCGCGTCGCCAGGCTTCAAGTAGTCGAAGTGGATGACCGTTCCGTTGCGCTGTAAGTCTTCCTCGTTCTGTAGGAGGAGGAATGATCGAAGCGATGCATACATCGGACAGATAAAATAAATCATGGACAGATAAAATAAATCGACAATGAGCAGAATATCATGGTGAGGAGAGTTGAATGTCGGCAGTTAAAAGTAACGCGTTGGAAGCCCACAATCAATCCCCTACCTTGAGCCACTTGATACGAGGCATGGGGTTCGCTTCAGGTTCACAAATGATATCGTAATTTGTTCCGCTTTCTCCGTAGACCTCGGGTATGACATCGAGCTTGGTGTTACTCGAGGCCGACAAGGTAATGGGTTTTTCGTCTGCAAAATCGATGTTACATGAGTAAGGTCATTTTACCATGTCAAATCGTTGGTTTAACCTAGAACTTCATTAATTAACCAAAAGGTAAAAAGTCAACCGATCACAATGATTAATTTTCTTCTATCACACGCATAAAATAATGCCGTAATGTCAACAGTGTCTCAGTTATCAATCATCGAAAAAACAATTTAAATTCAATAAATATCGGTAAAATTCAAATCATTCCAATTTCGTTAACATACTAGTGTGTTACTAGTAGCATTCATACAGGTTTACAAAAACGAAATTGTTTTCGTCATCATACCTTCAACGACTACTTCAAGGCTCTTCACTTCAACGGTATTGCTTCCCTTGTGCGTAACTGAGCAGGTGAACTTTGTTCCATTCAAAGCTTTGCTCACATTGAGCCTGATCCCACTAGAGCTCGAGTAGTCGCCATGAAAGATGGTTTTTTTATGCTCTACGTCTCCTGTAAACATATGATAAGACAAAGAGCAGACGATTTATAAGACAAAGAGCAGAAGATTTAAAAAAAGCATCTACCAAATAACCTAATGATAATTATTTTATAATAGCCTGAATATAACGCCTCAACCGTGTCTTGGTATCGCTTTTAGGAGACCGGATGGCCTGTGAGGCCAAATATGGATATGGACGTGCGGTTTGGAGCACTGCAAGGCGAAGAATGTCAAGCTGTGACATTCACTTTGAATTAAATAGTTCTGTTGTAGTAAATAATTATTAGTGTCTGTGTGAGAATAATATAAACAGATTTTAATGCCAGTGATAATGGTATTTCAATATGTTCGAGTACGGGTGGTGGTTGATGACTAAGAATTCAACGAGGCGTTCCAGTGGGACACATGGGTATTATTTTTACTTTTCATTTACTTCAATGAATCGTTTTGTGAATGAGTATCTAGTTATTTGATTTCTAGCTTGTGTTAAGTGTCCATCTTACAAAGGTAAACATGTTACTAAGGATTTCACCTGCAATGCTAATCATGAATCTCAGCAGGTAAAATTAAAGTCACAAGGTCATAAAAATTTAAGAAAGTAATATTTGTGACCCAGTATGCGATTTGCAAGCGTTTCTTGCTGTTTTTAACAGTAAACATGTCATATTCACAACTGTATCGGTAAAATGTGATCTCCACATGGATCTCAAGCCTGCTCTCTCAAGTTTGTTTTTAAATCAATGTGCGTTTCTAAATCAATTGTTTTTAAAATATTGAGAAAACAGTATATGTTATCAAATCGGTAGAACATCGCATTGATTGGGTAGCTTTTCCTCATCAGTACGTGTTATACATATAGTTTTTTCAAATAATGTTGGAGTGTGGAAGAGGTTGTTGTATCTCACCACTGAAAGACAGCACGGGGGGAAGGTAGAGGATGTCGGTAGCGTTGCACCACACTTCAAAATTGTCGTTCACCACCACATTTATGGAAGACTCGAGCTTTTTGAAGTGCTCAACGGATCCGTCGTCCCTACAGTGGGCGAACACCCACGGATCAGCGAGATCTGGGGAAATTTTTTCACAGTAATGATTTAGGTGAAAAGAATATATCTCAATTAAATTTTATGAAATAATCTTATTGAGCTCAGTAAGCATTTATTAGACCTGAGTGATATTCACAAACAGAAAGGAAATAAACTTGAAGTTCTACAGGAGAACCCATTCAAAACAAATCACAGCTAATTAATGTCAGAATATACGTTCCTGAAGTCAACTAACTAAAAAATATTAAAGCAATCGCGCAAGCGCTAAGTTAATAATAACCTGCTAGTATATGGAATGTCAGTTTTTACCCAACAACTCACCAGTGACAAGAATAATTTTCTCGTCCGAGTCTTCCTCGGTGTCGGTCTTTGCCACACACTTGAGTGTCACCGACGAGTTGATGTACTGCAACTTGCTGCCATCCACTACAGGCGTCGCCTTAATTTGGTTCCCGCTCGCCCGTATTTCCGACTGTAAAATAATTAATGGATTATATAGTTCATGTATAATAATCTTTAGTTTATAAATATTTTAACAATTAAATATTGTTGAATTTTTGAGTTAAAGACAATTTTTACCTGAATTTCGAGAGGCTTCAATTCGCAGTAAGATGATTGGTCAACGCAATCAGCCAACATCCACGAGATATTGACGGTTTGTTTGGTGCGGTTGCTTCCCTTCACAAAGCGGTAGCTCGTGACGTCACAAGAAACGTTTACAGGGCCAGGATTCATGGAGTTAGGTACTAGCAATTGTACCTTTGGTGAACCTGAGTACAGATACATCAAATCGCTGTTGTAGTACGTTTGAAAAGAATTCAATAGTTCAGGATTAATACAAAGGAAAAAATAGCTCAAGATAAAAACTTTGGACAAGTAGGCATCTCGTAAACCACAATTGAGCAATCGTGAGTTGCACCGAAAATCATAAATTGTTCATGATCATGATTTGTTCAGCAATGAAATATTGTTGAACTTTTGAGTTCAAGACCACTTTTACCTCAACGAAAATTTTGTTCAAAAAAATTTCAAGTTTGTTTTCAATTGCAATTCGGGAGTTGCATAGCAGTTTTGTGCGTAACGTTGGCTTGAACGGGGCTTTCTTAAATCAACTCAGCTTAAGCTTGAAAATTGAGAAAAACTGTATAATCAAACCATAGGGATTATCTATCTTGGCACAGCCAGGTTGCGCTGCAAGCTGAGAACACCACCAAGATTTTTGTTATCTTGAAAAGATAACTTTCTTTATCTGTGAGTCAGAAGAAAGTGAATGTGTGCTCTGTGACTGAGTAGCACATACATCTTGAAAATCTTAGCGTAGCAACCGCAGAAAGCAAGCACTGAATCTTAACACTAGATTTAAATCATACACTGACGTAAATAACGACACGATATCGTGAACATTATACGCACTAAAAACGATGATTTCCACCCTCGATATTACGCGCAGGTCGCCCATTTCAGCGACCAACGTCCAGTTGCCAAAATCTGAGGTTTGAACTTTCTTGATATAGAGCCATGCTTCTCCTGTGGTCGAGTTGAACGTCCAGTTCACCTGTCCACAAAAATCTCGAGATGTTCCAAAAATTCGAGTATCAGTACAATTCAGTTGCAGAAAATTTTTTCGTTCTTCGTTAAAACTAGGAAGCTTAATTGCCCGAAATCTATGACCATCTGTCATTTTATCCTACGAAAGTTGTTAAGAGTAATAAGTTCAGTCTCCACGTGTAGATTCTTTCACTTTTTTTTCCTGTCGGGGAAACCTTGTAACTCAAGTTCCCGTGCCTTGAGTTACAAATATTATTTACGACGGTTAAAACAACCGCAGACGCGAGGTTGCGCAATGAATTGACACGCAAGATAATTGTTTGATTCCCACATAGATTCAATAAAAAATTGATTCCCAAATAGATTTATCAAAATACTAAACATTTTTGGAGTCATCAGCATCCGTTTCTAGAACTCGTGTTGCTCGCTCCCTGCTGACTGTAAATTAATGTGTTGAATTGCGAATTTTTTCGAGAAGAATTTTAGTCATTACTCATCTAAAAAAAATTCGTGCGGTCCTTGCTCTGAAAAATGTTTTGCTTACCCTCGGGCCAGAGGACGAGATGCTCTCGTTGCGGGAATTGTTGTAAGACAGCACGGGATGATGAGGGTAGAACTCCACCATTCTCTTCCATGACAGGGGGTCAGTTTCATTCACATAAATAATTAGCGGTTCCGATGACACGTTCAGCACCGGAGCTTTACTCTCTGACGGAACAACACAAGAAAACAAAACAATCAAACTTACGTCATAATGGATAGTGTATAATTACATTTCAGAATAAGGCATTGATCGTAGCCAGTCGGTAAATTTCCAATGTCTCACGAATATTTTAAATTAAATTTTTAAATAATTAGTGATACATGCTCATGTATTATATTGTGATTACTCACCTAGAATTGTAACATTGAACAACGGGGAATCTGATTTATTTATGCCTCTCTTCACCATGCACTGGTACGAGCCTGAGTCGGACGTCTTGGCGGACGACACCGAGTAAGTTGACTTCTTGATGCGGTCGTTGTTCTGAACCTTTACCTCCTGGAATAGCGTTATCGTAATTCGTTCTCACATCGAAACCGTATCAGTGTATGAAAAATAAAAATAAAGAAATAACTCACAGCTACACTATTTTCATAGAACGTTGATAAGAGGTAATAAGCAAACGAGTTTCTAGTTAGTCGCGCTTATTAAATCGGAACTATGTGTAATTCTCGTATTCCTTCCATTAAACCACTTTGAAATGGAAGTTGTATACTATTTCGTAAGATTTTGTCATCACCAGTGAAGACTTTCCTAGACAAATTTTCAATAATGAGATCAGCGGCGATGTTTAGTTACGTGAGTTTAAATTATGTGAAAACCTATGACAGCAGGTACCCAGTCTATAAATAAAGCTAGTTGAAGCTAGTCTGTTAGTACTACTAGCTTGCTTAAGCTTGCGTTTGAGTGATATTGACACAATTTGGAATATTTGGCTGGACATACATTTAAATACAAAACGCCAACAGTTGATGCTACAGATTCCCCCAAAAGCTCAAAAGTTTACGTGCATGTAAAGTGTCATGTGTAAATGACTTTAACCCTCTGAGTACTGATCACTCCCGATTCTAGGCCTTTACATATAAAAAACATTGGTGGAGGCTTCTGTATCCCTAGACAGGTTAATTAATGTAATTCATCGTGAATTGAACGTATAGATAATTGAAGTTACCGACATGCACTTACCTTCAGTCCCACCGGGCTGCCTGCGTGCATCCAATAGAAAGTTATTTCAAGCTGGCTCGGCACGACGCACTCAACGTAAATAAACGTACAGATAATTGAAGTTACCGACATGCACTTACCTTCAGTCCTACCGGGCTGCCTGCGTGCATCCAATAAAAAGTTATTTCAAGCTGGCTCGGCACGACGCACTCCAGGTGGAACGGATGACCGACCACGAAATGTGAGTTAGGTGGAGCTTGGATGGAAGGTACAGACAGCGGAGATAACGTGCCCGCTGAGTTGGAGAGACGCCATTAAAATAACATTAATTGCAATATAGAATATGTGAGGTTACATAAAGTATAAGCGGAAAGGTTTAAAAAATAGATAAAAAATATTATCGAATTCATGACGTTAACGTTTGTAAAGACATTTGACGATGAAATTAACGAGTCAATATTTATATTATTATAAGAAGAATTTTCAATAGCAAAGAATTGAAATTCATGCAATAAATATTATGATATTATTTCGACTGGAATAGCCTGTATACATAACACAAAACTTGAACCATTAAAAAGTTGTTCTGCAAAAACATCACATTTATTCGCCCTAGAAACTTATTCTAAAATTCCAACAAAAAACTGACACGTCCCAGAACATATAAAATAGAACTTAATAATGATTAAGAACAATTGACTAAGAGTTGAACTCTGAACAAGACCAGCAAGCCCAATGTTAGTTCTGTTAGTAGCCGAAAATAATAGAATAATTCTCTAGGTAAAGAGACTTAAATAGAAGAAAAAGAGAACAACCTGAGAAAAAGACTGAGCAGCAAGTTATATGGCGTATCAATTGGCTCGGAAGTGATATGGTGAACTGTAAACAATCTCTTTTGTAATTCTCGAACAAACTAACTGTGGTTCACTTTGGTAAGTTTGAATAATTGTTGTTAATTGTAAAGCGCCATACAGGATCTTACGGATGATTTTGAGGATAATAGTACGAGCTTTATTCTTATCCTCGGCCATTGTACACTTGTACTGGCCAGACATGGTAACCGTGGCTCCTCGGATGACGAAACCTCGTCTCACGTCGAACTCGTGGTCCTCGACCTGCGAGAAGCAAGGGCCTACAGAAGTCGTGCAGTAGAAATGAAATGGAGTAGTTACAAGTCAGAATAGTGAAGTAGTTACAAGTCGGAATAGTGAAGTAGTTACAAGTCGGAGTGATGGAGTAGTTACAAGTCGGAATAATGGAGTAGTTACAAGTCGGAATAATGGAGTAGTTACAAGTCGGAATAATGGAGTAGTTACAAGTCGGAATTGAAGTAGTTACAAGTCGGAATAATGAAGTAGTTATAAGTCGGAATAAGGAAGTAGTTTCAAGTCGTAATATTGAGTAACAGAAAATCAACCTAGACAAGTTCCCGTTGAGAAAAAGATTAATAACATGTACAGGAAACAGCAGGAAAATGGAAATTGAGTGTGCACGTAAACGAAAGTCCGGGGAGGTAGGTACCGAAGTAATTTTTTTTTTAATTATAAAAAATATTACGAGTTGGCATATTCTGCCCGATAGTTGATCAACGGAAAGATCAATAAATTCATTTTATAGATGCATGACAAACGTACTGATTAAATGATGTAGTTAGAACGTCGAAAAACGCGAAATTCGAATTCGAAGCCTCATCAGTTGTGTGAAGAACTTCTATGTATAGCTCAACGAACAAACTTCAGTATTACTGATGTCTCTTGCAATACTTGGGATAAGTTGCAAAAAATGTGTTAGTGAGCAACCCAAACTCAAGGCAGGCGTTTGTTAGGAGGAAGAGTTAGCAGTTAATGACACGTTGCTTGTTAATCGTAAAGGATAGCGAATTTCAATTGTAATTTATAACTGCGATGATATAGAAGCAATCGGAAACAGAGTTCGATGCGATTGCGATGAGGAAACGTTAATTTATAGAAAATGTTAATAATTTAAGCTGTTAATTCAGACACACTTAATGTATTTATATTCAACGTTTAGTTAATGCTGACTGACAATCTAGCGCATTACACCTTACAGCCAACCTGAAATAGAGAGAATATAGTATGGGTTAGGGACATGCCAATAATGAGATACCACTGTATTTTTCATCCAAGATCATTTATGTTGAATTCGGTCCCCCCAATTGTCTGACTATCTTCAAGATCTGCATGACTCAGTCGAAGATACTGCGATGAAAGCTCAGAAACCACATGAGGCTCCAGCGAAGTATTACGAACATGCAGGCATGCGTAGCAGGCAAAACGGACGTATGTGCATTGCTAAGCAATGTACGGCCGCGGTTATACGGTGTTCAGTAACTCACGTTTGACCGTGACTGTGGTGGCTCGTATCAAAGAATCTGGGCGTTCATTATTAGTGTGGCATTTATAAAGCCCACTGTCTGTCACGGCTGGGTTTTTGAGCACGAAACCAATTCGTGCATTGAACATAAATCGGTTATCGTTCACCTGATGGAAGACGAGCGACGTCATGATCTTGTGAAATAATTATCGGAAGCCCAAATGGTCGGAGTTCAATTTTTGTAATCATGAAGTTGCTGACCAATTTCCGTGAATTAGATAGGATTAAATAGGAATAAATTTTTTAGATAAATTAATCTCTCCTTGTCCATTATCGAATACAATTCATAGCAGAAATACTACGAGTAACAAACATTTGTGGTGAATGCATGATTGTGATGAGGCATTGTGATGCGCACACGCATGCTAGGGCCAGCCACAGAACAGAGTTAAATAAGGTCATTAACTGCATCATTAATTTGAACCTACCAAGTGAACTTATTTGTAAATTACCTCGCACATCTACGGAAATTTCAAGGTAATACAGAGTTTTACTCGATTTTAAACAGAGTTCATATTATGTTATACGAAGGCTAACTATTGGGCACTCATATGACGAGGGTTCTCTCAATAGTTCAATCCTGAGGTTCTCATAGATTTAAAGGAAGAAAAGTGCCAAAATCTGTATTGTATATTTCAGGAATATTGGAAACGGTTACGTTGAAGCAAAATTATTAGTGCCGAATTTACAAGGCAGCAAATGGGCACAGCTGGTCATAACATTTTACTTAAGACAATGCAAAGAAGACATTCAAAAATATTTCATTAGGTAAATTTCTTGTGTTCAGAGACTCTACAGAGAAGTCCTTCAAGAAATAATTAATGCAGTACCTATCAACCCCGCTACGTATGTCAAACCTGATGATTCAATGCCTAGTACGTAATCAATACCTAAGTGTAATCAATTCTATTCAATTTTGAGATTTCAATCTCAAAATATAATGCAGAATGGTTTGGTAATACAGATTTAGGCACACCAAGATTTTGGATCAAAAACACTCCCTCTGAAATGCCATGAAACATATTGAATAGGTATGTTTCAGGGCAATGGAAAGATATTGTATATGTTTCTGAATCGTGCCATGGCTTACATTGACGCCGTCCTTGCTGAGGAAGACGACGGTGTCAGGTTTGTTGGTGCGACAGTCGATTATGATCTCAGGATCAGCGGTCGTCCCCTGCACTGTCTCAATTTCATTAGGATTCACGAATCCGTGGGCGCCATCTGCAACAAACACTCACTTCTGACTCGATGCAACTTTAATTTAAGTTAAATTACTTTCCTTAAGTGACGCTGAGTAGAACACTCGCTCTAATATCTTACTCGATCACTATTCTGAGGATAGCTATGCACAAGTTAGTAATAATGTACATTTAGAAGATTTAAATTTGAAATTATGATCGGCCAAAAGTTGCTATCGTACCAGCGAGTATTCATCTGTCATCTTTTGTCAATGAGGTTTAAATCGAACCCTCAATCAACAAATTAGTATTAAGCAAAATTTTAGCTTGAATTAAATACACTCAATCTCAGTTTTAAACTGAAAATAAATCTCTTCTAGGATTAGGAATGAAGTAGGGACCTAAAGGACATAATTTGTATAATACCAAGCACACAAGAAAAACCATCTCATCATTTCAGTGCAAAAAGCAACGAAAAAAAGTTCAATTGTCTACCTGCGTAATTAATATTACCGACGTATTTCTAGCCTAACAACATCCGAACACTCAATGACGCACCGTCGATGAAGACGTAAACTTTCGAAGAACAATGAGAGTTGGCGCGGCATTCGAAGTAGCCAGTGTCTTCGACATATACGTCAGTTATCTGCACGAACAAACTTATTAACAGTTACTCTGCTTTCCAGGAAAATGTTCTCCCTTGATGCTGGGAACATATACGATTCAAAATAACACGAGCGAGGCAGCTAATTACTTCACGAGTTATTTATAGAATCAAATTAAATAATACTGAGAAACATCGTAAACATTGATCCTTACAGACAGTCTGATGAAAAGATGTAGTGAAGAATATTGGGCATGTAATTAACATTATATTCACAAAACTATATAATATACATAAAATTTTGCTATTGAATGTACAATAATGGTAATAACTGATGCACCAGTAATTCACCGTTATAATGGCAGTGTTGGGGGGTTCTTGCGTGACGCTCGCTGACTCGTGCCAGGTAGCCTGTAAAAATAAAGACGTCGAGATAAATTACGCGAATAAATTTATATGACATGTATACATTCCGTGAACAAATATTATTCTTTTTTTCAAAAGTTTAAATAATAGGTTATACGTGGAGGTGAAAAACTTCAAATAAAAATTATCAAACCAGAATAGCATAAAATTTTATTGAAATTTAGATAACTTAGAACTGGTTACCGAATAGTGTTCAGTTTCCCGATAAACAATCAAAATATCGTCCGATGTTTGCGGTGCTTAAATGCACAAAGATCTGAGGTTACACTAAAAGTTATCCAAAAACGTAATAAAGTCGATGGTAATGACAAAAGCTGGCACAAACTTGGAAGCTTTTCAAATGAGAAAAGAGGGAAAATGTGGGTACAACGACTGTAACAAAAGCAGCTCCATATGCACAAATGCGAATTTTAGCTCGGGACTGATTCTGCCCTAATACCTTCTGGAGCCCGGTTTCAACTTTAAATTAAGTTAGGTTAACTAACAATTAAGGCCTTTCGACTCATCAGCTCTCGTATAATGAACAAAATGATTTCATTGACATGAAAATAGGTTCTTCTCGATTGAACCAAGATGTCTCAAAGCAAAACTCAAATTACGCGTCGATCTCGCACAATACGAGGTCCAGAGCGAGTGTATCACATTTAGATTGTGTCGTCACTCACCCCCTCCACGACCCAAGACACGCTGGAGTCGCCGCCATCGCAGTGCAGAACCAAGTTATTGTTTGCTTCTTTCTTGAAGATGTAGCTGCCGTCCGCGTCGCTCTCCCTGATAACGGGTGGGTTGGAGCAAGCCTCGCTACCTGCAGCAGAAAAAAAGGTTTATGCGAAACTCTTCAGAAATTACAAATTAAATGCAATGAATTTCTTTAGCTAATCACAAATTCAATGCACACTAATGATGTCAACCTATTAGTAAAATAACATTCACATCAATATAACAGATAACTTTTTACACGTCAGCACCACGTGCAAAGAAGGTCGACATAATAAACACAAGAATTTGAAGGTAAAAGTAGTGATTATGAGACGGGCGTAAAGTGTCGGACTCTCAGTCACAGGACACGTGTATGTAAGATAGCCCACGGTGCTCCGGGAATGAGTCAACGATGTTTAAGCATGAATGTTATTTTTCGTATTATTACTAAATCTCAATCGAATAAATATTTATTCAAGTGTTATTCAAGTGTTATGCCGTTACTGCTTCGATTCCTTTAAATCTTTTTTGCTGCATCTTTCCTACAAGCGGATCTTCATTACAATTAATTTCCTATACTCATTTATATTCAAATATCAATATGTTCCATATTGGACCAACCGTGCACTTATTTTATGTAGAGTCTCTCGATGTCTCGTTTTTAACCTGTATTTTCGAAATCATAGTTCTAGTTTCTCGTTGTAGCATTTATTTGATTATTACTTGCTCATAGCTTAGTAACTTCGCTTATTGTGATATGGCTGCCTAAATAGAATAATCAGTGCTATTATTCATGGGAGCTCAGCTGCTGTTAGACGTACAGTCGTTCTAATTAAGTAGTTTGAAGTTCGCTATGATACGGTTTATTGGTTGTTCAAATATGGGTTGTTGCGTACAATTTAAATGGCCTTCACTGTCCCTAGTTTATTTCCGTCAGGATAATTAAGTTTATTTTTGTTTCCTCAGTGTATTTCTGGTGTTTTTGATGTGATTCCTATATACGTTGTTTTTTTATATTTTTAATGGCTGCCTGTAAATTATCAATAGGTAATCAGCGGCATAACTCGTCTGCCGTAGAGCGGCTATATGTGTGACAAGATTGTAAGGCGAAACGGCGACCGTCTCAAATGTGTGTCTGGTAGACTGAAAATCCGGCACTTATATTTCTTAAGGGTCATAAATCTACCGTTTGCGAATATTGAAAGTTTTTGGATCTCGAGACAGAAAACATTCAAGATGTTTACAAAAATGTATTAAATGAAATTAATTAACTGATGAAGGTTTCATAAAAAAACAGTAGGCAAACGATTCTACTCAGGAAGTGTTATCACTTAAATTTGGCAGGTAACGCCTGTTTGAATAATCCTTTTCAAAAGGGCAAAAACTCAAATCAAATCAACCTCTTGGTCGAAAATAGCTATGAAACGAATAAAAATATAAAAAATTTCTCGAAGTTTTAACCCGTTACTCTGCAATTAAGGTGTTTCCATGGGCAGGAAAGCTTTCGATATTCCAATTTGTTGACATTGCACTCACGTGACACGAGCAGGCAGAGGAGGAGCACGCGAGCGAGCACCGGGCTTGTGCTCAGCTGCCAACCCATCATGGCAGCATCGCAGTCTGAAATTAAAATATTATTTATATTATAAAAAGTAGGTACAATACCTAAATTAAGAACATATATAATATATTTTACGACGTTAACTTGCCAACCCATCATGGCAGCATCGCTCTCTGAAATTAAAATATTCATATCATAAAAGTAGGTACAATACCTAAATTAAGAACATAAATAATATATTTTACGACGTTAACAGTTCTACATGCTTTTTAGCGCATTTTCTCATTTATGGAAAAAATGCACTATTGTGCTCGCCATGTCCGTCTGTCTGTCCGTCCGTCCGTGACCTCAAGTTTTCGTCGACGAGAAAATGCGCTCTCCGTCACTCACTGCTGTGAGTACTGAGTTATATTTTTTGTAAATTTGACGAGGTTTCCAGACAAAAAAATTTTCATTTGTAATTTTGAATGGATTTTGCTTTGCAGATTTTTTGGGAGCTAGAGACCTCATATATGAACATTTGTTTAATATAGAAAGTAAGGTAAAAATGCTTGTACGCGCACTCTATAACGATGCTACTTCCAATGAGGCATTATACTCTTTTCACGTCTTCGATTTGAACTCAAGCATCTTCAATTTCCGCATGCAGATACCGGTTGTCGTGTTGTATTTAGTATCAAGATTGCAATAAATTAACATCCATTCTATTCTCAGGACGAGAATCCAAATCTTCTTCTTAATTCCACGAAGTGAAAAGCACAAAATTTTCTAACGCAATAAGGTAAGCTAACGTTACGGGGAACGACGCACCCCTCTCGTCAACACGCTGTGCGTCATGAAATTAGGCAATTTTTATGGGATTTCGCCCTGATTTTAAGTCTTCCAGAAAAATCGCTAACAGGCACCCTTTTGCTATAAAACCCCAAATGCAATGAATTAGAAAAAAATTACACGAGAAGAAGAAGATAATTCGTTTTTCCCGGCAAATGTGAAAGTCGTTATGTTGCTTGAAGGACCTCGGGGATACTTATTCGTTGAAATAATAATTCAAATTTCCATGAACTTCATTCTGTGATGCAGGTGTATTAAAAATTTAGCAGTTCCCCAAAGCAGCATACAAAATTTATTTCTTTCTAAGATGAAAGTTTATCTTTGGATCAGATTCAAAATAACAATAAACTAACAAGTTGGCAGCATTTTTCTCTGCACACATTAATCAAGATAAGAACGATTTTAAGCCTTCGCTGACATACACATCAGCGGTTAAATGTTTAATAAACGAAATGAATGGCTGAATAACGCGAATTTAAGATTATAGAACAATACGAATTACTCGTATCTGCGATATATACCAATGCCGTGGGGTCCATGCAGTGACAGCGATTTTGGTACAGATGACCAGCGATGATCTCGGGCCGATAACTGAAGTGAGTGCAAAACTTGGTCGCTCAACGAACACAAATCAACAGACCGGCATTAGATTTGTTTGACAATTTTGGCAGGAAAGACTTAGTTAAACCTGAAAAATTCATAGTTATTCTCTCATGTAGAGATGAGAGCAAAAAAAGTCGCAAAAATCCAAGATTAACCTGGGGAGCTACGAGCATTAAAACGTATCAAAATAGAACCTTTAAATCTCTAATTTTGACAGCGAAACTGTTATTATAATTTTGGAATGTAATTTATAAACACATAGTTTTATAGAAGAAGCCTAAATTGTCATATGATCATTTGATTATGCGAGAACCCCTGTGTTCTATCATAATCTTCGAGAATAATAAAAATTATTCAAATAAAATTTATTTTTTTACCTTGTTGTATCATTCAAAGATGGTTTTTTGTATTAAAAATAAATCCAGTTAATCCACTATATCCTTCGTCAAGTTGTCTCTTATGGTTTAAGCCCGCCAAGTATTTTAAAATTGATCAAACATAAATGAAGGCTCGTACGTGATATAAATCTATTTAACTAATACCCACATAATTCAAAGTTACTCCAGCGGACGAGTATACCTAAAGATTTCAAGATGTTCATAAATAAAAATTTTATCAAATGTTTGTACAAGAATATTCTACCGTGAAAATAACATAAGGATTAACGTTCACACTGAAACTATTATGGCGCTCGGACGTGTGATGTAAGCAAGCACTGCACACACGTGGACGAGGCCAAAATATGAAACTGCATGAAACTGACCTGAAGGCTGCTTGGCTTCTTGCTTTGGTTACAAGAATTTTCTACCGTGAAAATAACATAAGGATTAACGTTCACACTGAAATTATTATGGCGCTCGGACGTGTGATGTAAGCAAGCACTGCACACATGTGGACGAGGCCAAAATATGAAACTGCATGAAACTGACCCGAAGGCTGCTTGGCTTCTTGCTTTGGTTACTTGGCACCGCAAAATAAGTCCGCCACTCTCTAATCTCTTCCCTTAATAGCATGCACGTGCATAAACATAGATATTCAGTTAGACACACCGATACATGTGGATAACATCGGACTTAGCTCTGAATAACCATACCAGTGGCCATTTATGCATCACTGTACTGATGTATTAATTGGACTAACGACCAAGACTATATATACAGTCGAATACATCGATTATAACTCAAGTTATATTAAAGCAAGACCGAATCAACAGCTAAAAAATTCATTCCCAGACAAGCTTCCGAAGATTTCATAAAAGAATAGTCAACACATTTATTAAAAAAAAAAAGGGAAATTACTGGGACTTAGAATTGCCCTTTGATCAATATAAATGCGTTATATTAATCACCATTTAAATTCGCAAATAATAATAATAATTCATAATATCTTCAATAAAAATAACAAATCAAGCGTTCGTAAAGTGCATTCTTAACACACATTACATCGATCTATTTCTACCCGCACTCATACACGTTTCAAATCTCATTGACATACATCTCCTTTTAGCATATATTTTAGATACTGAAGTGTATCAAACATTTTGGTTAACGTTTTGGATGATGAACATTCAAACTTCCGAAAGTCTTTAAAGTTATTATTCGTACATTGCAAGGAATAACCAATTAGAGCTATATGAAATATTGATCAAATTGAAAGGGTCTAAAAGAACCAGATTATTGTTCTATGAGAAAGCACAGTAAAATTCATATTGTCACTCAGCCTCTAATTGTCATGCGACGCATTTTTCTTTTATTTTCATGCATCACTATAATTTAAGTTAGAAATCTATATAAATTTTCTGTGTTTCTGTGTGTTGTGATACGCGACAAAAATGAGATTAATTAAATGCCTATAAGCTAGTTAAAGAATCGGTGACGTCAAGCACGAGAGGAAATAACAAGATAAAGGTGACTTATCATAACTGACTCATACAAAGTGACATTTTTAATTTCAATCTTCTCAGGTTAATTAAGTATACATTATTACATACAAAAAGCACGCGACAGGTTCATGGAGAACTGCAGGAGATACTGCACGAACTTTTTTGCACACTCGATTCATGGATGCATGGAACGTAATTTTAAGCAGTATATATGCATCTACGATGAATATGATTATTGGTAACATTAAATTGACGCTTATATCATTTCTAGTCTTTCTCTACATTCCTTTCTCAACATTGAGGGATGAGCTAAAGAGGCAAATAAAAATCATTTCCCTATGAAAGACAAATTAACTCTCAGAGAATGTAGTTTCAGATTGTATAGCTTTTTAATGCATACTCCACAACTCGTACACAATACACTTCTTCATACTGATGGTCAGCTAAGCATCAAACTGAGAAGCAGTAACTTCCTTGCCGTATTCTTCGTTATTTTTGTACCTTGCAACGATCAGATTTTTTACGCAAGTAAATTTAAATTTTGCATAGAAATGGGAGACAATTTGTGGTTTAAATTCACCCCAATCCATCAATATTTATTTTGATTATTCAAAGTAGCTTCACCGTAATTTGAATCAACAAGTCAAACATAATCCCTGTCCCGATATATGGTTGATGTCATACCGAGCAAGTCCCAAGTTTCAGAGAGAGTTAATTTTTTTTTTAAATTCACCCCAGTACATCAATATTTATTTTAATTATTCAAAAGCACCTTCACCGTAATTTGAATCAACAAGTCAAACATAATCCCTGTCCCGATATATGGTTGATGTCATACCGAGCAAGTCCCGAAGTTTCAGAGAGAGTTAATTTTTGGTTTAAATTCACCCCAATACATCAATATTTAATTTAATTATTCAAAAGTAGCTTCGCCATAATTTGAATCAACAAGTCAAACATAATCCCTGTCCCGATATAGGGTTGATGTCATACCGAGCAAGTCCCGAAGTTTCAGAGTTAATTTTTGGTTTAAATTCACCCCAATACATCAATATTTATTTTAATTATTCAAAAGTAGCTTCACCGTAATTTGAATCAACAAGTCAAACATAATCCCTGTCCCGATATAGGGTTGATGTCATACCGAGCAAGTCCCGCAGTTTCAGAGTTAATTTTTGGATTAAATTCACCCCAATACATCAATATTTATTTTAATTATTCAAAAGTAGCATCACCGTAATTTGAATCAACAAGTCAAACATAATTTCTGTCCCGATATAGGGTTGATGTCATACCGAGCAAGTCCCAAATTTCAGAGAGAGTTAATTTTTGGTTTAAATTCACCCCAATCCATCAATATTTATTTTAATTATTCAAAAGTTGCTTCACTGTAATTTGAATCAACAAGTCAAACATAATCCCTGTCCCGATATATGGTTGATGTCATACCGAGCAAGTCCCGCAGTTTCAGTGATGAATCAGACAACGCGCACTCATACTTCAGAACGGAACCTTGGCCACGGCACTTAGGACAGCTATGCTTATCGCCTCAGCATGGACGATGTTATCGCTTCACCGAAGTCGCTCATTGAATGACGCAAGAAAATCATCAAGTCGAATAACATAGAATTATCAATGTAATTTGTGCGTAATACTAAGAAATAATATTAATAACAATATATAAGCTTAATTTACGATTCAAAATTATTCAACTGAAATTGCAAATATTTATGGCATAATAAA